TATTGGTATTGGTATTGGTATTGGTATTGGTATTGGTATTGGTATTGGTATTGGTATTGGTATTGGTATTGGTATTGGTATTGGTATTGGTATTGGTATTGGTATTGGTATTGGTATTGGTATTGGTATTGGTATTGGTATTGGTATTGGTATTGGTATTGGTATTGGTATTGGTATTGGTATTGGTATTGGTATTGGTATTGGTATTGGTATTGGTATTGGTATTGGTATTGGTATTGGTATTGGTATTGGTATTGGTATTGGTATTGATATTGGTATTAATATTAATATTTGTATTGGTATTGGCTACCACTGGTGTGACGTTGTTCTGTGTGGAAACAGCTGGTGCGTGGTATGTCTGTAGTCTACACCTGTGTTACCAATATGATAGGGTTAAACCTTTGTGTGCACATGGATATATGTGCGGTGGTATATATGTAGGTATGCATCATGAACGTTCATATACCTGTGCCGTTGTAAATATGTAGATATATCTCAGGGCTTAATAGTGTAGGTACAACATCCATTTGGCTCTGTCTTCATCCCTGTATCCCCATGCTGGTACACATACACAGTGGTGCAAAGAGATGTCCGAGGGCAAAACCGTTGAGACCACCCTGCCCCAAACCAGACAGGGCAAGGTGCAGATGCACAGCTTAGACGTGGGTGTGAAAGGGGGAGAGGAGATAACTCTCAGGGCCAACGACACTCGGTACAGTTCGGTACTTCGCCTGGACGCAACTGGCAATACGCAGAAGATAGTGCTGGCGGTGCCGGAGAGGGGCACGCTCAGAACACGCACCCAAAAGCAGTACGAATTGGGTAGGGTTTTTATATATTTAATTTATACGTGAGTGATAATTTGGGTCGAGTTGGGTGTTTTTTGGTTACTTAAGTGATTGTTTAGGTTGAATTGGGGATGTTTTCGATAACCGAGTGAGACTTTCGGTATGTTCTGTGATTGAATGCGGGATGAAGTGGGCAAGTATTATGGAACAGTTCGGTACTACCCAAAAGCAGTACGAATTAGGTAGAATCTTCAAAAACTTGACTGATTATTTGGGTCGAATCGGGTGTGTTTTCGATAACCGAGAGTTTCCTGCGGTGTGTTTTGTGGTGGTATATGGGATGAATTGGGTATGTGCTATGAATTGGATATGCTATGAATTGGGTATGTACTATGGAACAGTTCGCCACTTCGGCTGGGTGCAGCAGTAGCTTCATGCGGTACTGGAGACAAGCACGCTCAGAGTCAGTACTCAGCCGAAGCACGGCTTCAGCCTTTTGTTTGTGACAGACAGTGTACCTCCAGAAGCCACCCCTGTGTATCTACCACCCAATACCATATACATGCATATAAAATTCAATACCATATACCTGCATATAAAATGTTATAGCATATACATGCATCTATAACCCTATACCATATACATGCATATAAAATTCGATACCATATACATACATATAAAATGTTATAGCATATACATGCATATGAAATTCTATACCATATATATGCATCTAAACCCCAATACCATATACATGCATATAAAATTATGTATCATATACATGCGTCTACCGCCCTACACCATATACATGGATCGAGCTCTGAAGGTATTAATATTGGCGTATACTACTCCATGGTATCTTTGCATCCATGCCTTTACCTACCCCCATTATCCTTTACCTACTTTCCTTATCCTTTACCTACTTTCCTTATCCTTTACTTGGTTCCTTTATTGTCATAGATGGTCTCAAAATCTGCTCGTCGTAGTGTGAGGATGTCTCTCAGACACTCGTATACATACACTCCTTATCTCACGATCATATACGTACACACACTCGTATATATACACCCCTTATCTTCACATACATATAATATATGTACATACTAATTTATATATATATATATATATATACCCCACTCCTTCTCACAGGTGTCAAAGTAACGTACAACACCGGTGTCTACGCCCGTACGCGTCTAGTGCAGATACTTCCTAACATGCTGTTCTTGAATGTGTTTGGTTTTCCTTTGGAGTATGTGCAAGACAATCTCAACGATCCAGCTGTCACCATCACACCTATGAAGACAATGCCGTTCCATTGGCCAGCTAAGAGAGATGTACAACTCTTGAGGTATGTATGTACCTGTCTATGTATATGTATATGTATATGTATATGTATATGTATATGTATATGTATATGTATATGTATATGTATATGTATATGTATATGTATATGTATATGTATATGTATATATATGTACATGTATATATACATTTGTATACTAGATGTATGTATAGTCAGTATAATATATACACAATGAATATATACTAGATGTAGGTATAGTAGGTGTAATATATACAAATTCGAATAAATACTATATGTGTGCATAGTAGGTATAATATATATATATATATATTTGAATATATATATACCAGATATAAGTATAGTAAGTATAGAATATATACATTTGAATATATGGTATGTATAGTATATATAGTATAAATTCAAATAAACTTCATTTGTGTCCGCGTCCAAAGTGAACGCAAGACAATAAAAATGGGCCGTCCATTAACATCGCATCCCTGGAGTCTGTGGCTATTTTACCGGTCTAACAACCCTAAACCCTAAACTCGATCTATGGCAAATTCCCTTTTTATTTCGTGGCAAATATATCAATAGAAAAACCCTAAACCCTAGATTTTAGGGGCTGATACACTCCAATACACCATATCCTGAAAAGTAAAAGCAGTTTTACCTTTGTGACTATTTTGTCATGTTCTCACATTTAGTACTTCTCACATTTAGTACTTCAAATCGGTTTATACAGAATTAGGGCCAAGGTACCCATCCCTAATTCCAGTGACGAATCAGGTCGAAACGATGTGTGGAACTGGAGCGAACCGTTTGCACTGGTCCCTCAACAGCTCACCCACTTCACAGTCAAGGTGTGTTGCACTTTTAATTGTATGCATATAGGCAGCTATCAATACTTTATATATATATATATATATATTGTATATGTATATGTATATGTATATGTATATGTATATGTATATGTATATGTATATGTATATGTATTTACGGCTATCTGGTGAACCTATAATAGGGATATATTGTATATAATAATTGTTATGTAATACATGCATTAAAATTAAAATTAGTTTATGTTCTAAATCCCAATCCATCGGCTTGGAAAATCTTGTTTCTGAACCTGCTTTGCGTTCTGCAATATATACACCTCACACCTAATACGTACATGTTTATATCTAGCAAGTATGTGATTTATTATATAACATACACCACACTTCCAATACATATATTTTTAAATATACGTGTACAGTATGTAGGCGATTTATTATATTGTATATACACCACACATCCAATACATGTAGCTTTATATCATGCGTACCATGTACCTTTATGTCTAAGTATGCGATTTGTTATATTATATATACACCACACAACCAATGCATATATTTTGTATTCGTATCCATGTGTACAGCTTCGAGGAAACCGAAATAGGGAGTTAGTTGGGTACATCCCTGTGTCGGTCACTTGGGTGAAGGCTGGACATGTGGTACTATTTGGTCGCCCGTACGGCAAAGAACCCACCAACTACGTCATCCGCAACAACACTGGTATATTACAACATGTTGTTTATTATACTAGTTGTCGTAAACTACCGATGGTCGTAGCTGGTAGTGTATATTTCTGTGTCGGTTATTCGGGTAGAGCTTGGACACGGAGTACTCGTTGCCCGTACGTACGGCAAAGAACCCACCAACTACGTCATCCGCAACAACGCAGGAACGCTACAATATGTTGTATATTATATTAATTGTCGTAAACTACCGATGTTCGTATACTGGTAGTGTATATTTCTGTGTCGGTTCCTCGGGTAGAGACTGAACATGTAGTACTCGTTGCTCGTCCGTACGGCAGCGAACCTACCAACCCACAAGAATACAAGCAAACTACAATATGTCGTATACTATATCAATTGTCGTAAATTACAGGACCGCCATGTAACTAGCAAAGCGGGTTGGAAGTGATAATGAGGCCACACCGAATAGTTTTATCAATTACTACAGTATCGATTGTTTCAAATTACCATCTTGTCACATATTACATGCCACACTTCTAGTTTCAGAGTAAGAGTTTTGAGAACAAAGGGTACCATCTGATTTAAATTACTATTTTGTCGCATATTACATTCGACACCTCTAATTTTCGAGAAAGAGTATTGGGAGAGTCGTTAAAATCTCATTCAAATTGCTATATGCCGTACACTCTCTTGCACCTATCTAGGTTTAGTGTAAAACAAACAGCTGTGTGTTTTGCCTCTCAAACCAAACATGTCGTAAATTATACATTTACAAACATGTCGTAAATTATATATTTACGAGCGTTACTGTTACGTAGTCTACTACAGTTTGCAGCTTCTAGCCCTTGTTTTTATGATAAGAGTCTGGAACCGATGGCAAGGAACTCACACAAAACCGTGATCTTGTGTTTCAAATTGCTACTATGTTGTGTATTATATTCATCAGCTCTGCGGCTGGAGTACTGGCAGGACGGTGTGGAGAAAGAAACACTCAGTCCCCACAGCGAAGTAGTCTATGGCTTTGACCGACTGTTGGGCCCACAGTTCATCAACGTACAAGTTAGCAACGACGATCTTACGGCACGCTCATATGACATGAACAGTCTTATCAACAAGTGAGTGGAATGATAGTGCACTATATGGATACACACACACACATATATATATATATATATATGAATCGTACTTTATCGTACTAAGTATGTTTAGTTCTTGACCTTAACGTATATATAGCATTCTTGATTGTACTATATCACTATTGTTCTTCATCACACCATATACATATCGTTCTCATACTCCCATGCAAACACCTGCCCCAGATTCTCACCCGTGGAGTACCTGCGCGTCTTCCAACTGGTAGCCATGAACGACTCGGTGCTTGAAGTATGCAAGACCAGAGACGGCCAGGCAACCATCCGTTTGTGGCCTAAACGAGACCGTACCGCTATGGAATACCGGTATCAGATGTGGAGTCTCACCGCAAACGGCACACTGGTCAACCCGGCGAGCGGATTGATTGCGCAGGTGTATGGCGATGGATTATATCCGGGTATGTGCTCTGTTTATTTAGTTGTATATATGTATATGTATGTATGTATATGTACACTCATATATATATATATATATATATATATACATACACACACACACACACATATATATATATATATATATATATATATATATATATATATATACTACTAGTAGTAGTAGTAGCTGTGGTCAATGGTACCGAACATTCCTGTGGAAGCCGTAGTCATATACGTTTCTACAATCGAACACGTATACTTGGTTGTTATCACGTTTTCCCCGAGGTGCACTTCCCGTGCTCGTAGTCGTTCCTGTTTTGTAGAACGTAAACGTAAACGTACTTGCCTTTCACGTATACCTACAGGTGCGCGTTAGAACGTAAATGTAAACGTACTTTGCTTTCATATATACTTACGGGTGCGCGATAGAACGTAAACGTAAACGTACTTTCCTTTCACATATACCTACGGGTGTGCGTTAGAACGTAAACGTACTTGCCTTTCACGTATACCTACAGGTGCGCGTTAGAACGTAAACGTAAACATACTTGCCTTTCACGTACACCTACAGGTGCGCGTTAGAGCGTAAACGTAAACATACTTGCCTTTCACGTACACCTACAGGTGCGCGTTAGAGCGTAAACGTTACCTGCCTTTCACTTATACCTACGGGTGCGCGTTAGAACGTAAACGTAAACGTAATTGCTTTTCACGTATACCTACAGGTGCACGTCTTTACATGAACGATCCGCAACGCAGGGCCACAGAGCAGTGGCAGTTGTTGCCAATGGTACCGAACATTTCAAGTGCACGGCAGACAAATCTGGTTTGGGAATTGGATGCAGATGATCTGAAATCGGGATGTTTCCTGAAATTGGCGCCCCGCAACCCCCAAAGCCAACTGCAGAATTTCCGACCGGTTTATCTCACCCAGGGTACGAGTGTGGGGTTAAGGGTTTAGGGTTTTTTTGTGCTGAAGTTAACAGCTACATGTAGTGTACGATTAGGTTTATCTCACCCAGGTATGAGTGTAGGGTTTAATTTTATACAAATATGGTTATCGCGCCAAAGGTATAAGGGTAGGCTATGTATGATGGAAGACAAGTAATTGATGTCGAGTTAGGAGCGTATACAATAGGGTTTAGGGTTTAGGGTTCAAGGTTTACCCGTATACACATACCAATAGACAACCATATATGTCGATAGCAATGGATACGTGCACACATACTTTATTATGAGTGCACAAACTTCACCATGTTTATTAAGCTTATATACATGCACATAACCAGCTAAAACCAGTCCATCTGGCGTCCTGGTGTCTTCGGACGGTTGCTTACTCTCCATTGTAGAATTCTCAATACATACACCCAGCTATAATGCGCGTACTGATAAGAACATATGCACTAACCCATGTTTATACATGTGCATATATATATATATATATATATATAGGTACGGGAGTCCTAGCTCCGCGCATAGACGTGGATGGTCCCACGCGTATCCTGGAGTTCTCCGACGGACGACCGTTGTCTGAAGGTCGGAGAGTGGCTCATGGCGTTAGTAGAGCTTCGTTCCGATCTTTGCCTGGCATGGCTTCAATGGGTCTGCTTGGCTCGGGTGGCGAAGGTAGTGAGGTTGCCATGGCAACCACCGACGGCGACCTTGATGGGGACGTCTCCAGGTCGGATCTGGCTGTACGGTAGGTTGACTTTTGTGATTTTAGGTTTTAGGGTAAGGTGGCTATGAAGTATGGGTATAAGATGCTTGAAATGGGTGTTATTTGGGTTGCGAGTTCGAGTGCAGTAGTACATGAAAATACTGGGTATACTATATATGTGTATATATGTTTACATTATACATGTATCTATGTGTAAACGTATATATGTTATACACACACACACACAC